TATATAATGTTTGTTGTAATATATGTCCATATAAAGTCCTCAGGTTGTATGTTTGTAGTGTTATAAATGTTCCCACAGTAGGTGTCTATAATATTCCGCTAAGAAGATGTCCTTCTGATAAACTTTGAAATTCTGCTACAGAGTAGATGTCCAGTTATGATGACTTAATTTATCTGCTACTGAGTCCACTTTGCAGTTTTATTTATAGTGTGAAAGAATCATCTAGAAATGAATCTTCTGGAACTACATCTTGATTGGACATCTTTAGTGACATGATTCAATCTGATTAAATGTTTACTAGTTTCCGAATATTCTAGAAGGTCAAGAGTTAATGAATCATTCAGTTCAGTTTTGTTTACAAGATATAATGTCATTGTGACCTTGACCTAAGATATCTAATAATAAAGAATAGCTCAACATATATAGTAAGCATAGATTACAAATTAAACTATAGGTGAATATAGTAGAATATAATATACATGTAGCTCACTACTGTAACACCTCCCTCCTTAAAAGAAAAGTTTTGAATGCAATGAAAAACTTTTACAATAATATCTTGAGTAGCGAGCATTACAATTTCTAAAAGTGAGGTTGAGACTTGCATAATATTTGTTTACAATAGTCTTTTTATATGCAGTATGTTTACAAGTATATAATACTTTCTATCGTTACAGTGTGAGTACAATCTAATAACATATAATGTTTTGTAAAAATGTGTTACAATAGTATCATACTACAATAATATTATCAAACTAAGCAATGCATCAAGTCATAAATACCATATATGCAATAGATCATATAACTTGTACAATAGCATAAATGTTGAGTCTGACAAACACTAAAATAGTACAATGTTTTAAATTATCACATGATCTTATGTAACTATTTCTACTAGTACAATCTGATGTTATTTAGTAATCTTGTGACACTATTTAATGATCACCTATAATGCTCACACATAATATCAATTTCACTATTTAGGCAAATGTTTTTATATATTGTTAAAATAAAGTGACAGTTATCACAAATCTCTAATTTGCCTACCATATAATATAATCTTCCTGAGTTAATCATGATAATTTACAATATCTACATCTTGAATAACATATAGTTGTCATTTACATACAAGTTTGGCCTATGAGCTAAGAGTACAAGGTCATGTTGAGTAAAGAAATTTATCACGCTCAACATACCTTTTCATCATGTGTAGCTCTCTACACCTCACAGGAGTAGTTTTATCAATGCAAATGAAATCATTCAGCACTGAGTCAGACTTTGAGTAAGATTTAAGCTCTTTTGAAAGCCCAACAAATGTGAAATTGTTGATTTGTGATTTCACAGTATACTTGGTTTTGCTATTTCTAAGCATAAGGTGTGATTTTATTTCTAGAAACTGTGTGGCCATAGACAAAATAGTGAGCAGATATTGATTATCAGATTTTGTTTTTGGTAATGGACCAACACAGTCAATAAGAACCTTACTTAATGGTTCATCAAATGCAGGTATAGGGTGTAAAGGAGCAATTGGAATTTTCTGGTTAGGTTTTCCTACCATTTGACATGTATGACAAGACCTACAATACTCTTGGACATCTTGTTTTAATTTGGGCCAAAAGAAATGATTGAGTATTTTATGGTATGTTTTAGTTACTCCTAAATGACCTGCCATGGGAGAATCATGAGCTAGACTCAAGATTTCCTTATGATATGATTTTGGGACAACAATTTGATGTACAATTGCCCAATCATCTTCAGGGGAAGCTTCAGGGGGTCTCCACTTTCGCATTAATATGCCATCCTTTTTGTAGAAACAAACAGGGACCTTGACAGCTTCATCAATAGTAAGACATCTTTTATGAAGATCAATGAGTGATGGATCATGCTCTTGTTCATAAATTAACATGTGTTTAGAATGAGGATCATTTTTCAAAGAATCACTATCAGAAATAGAGGATGAAACCTCAGAACTAGAAGAGGATGAAACCTCATGAACACTAGCAGAAGAAGATGAAACTTCATCAGGACTAGCAAGAGCGGGCGAAACCGCATTAAAATAGTGATCCTGCTCAGAAGGTGAATCACCCCTGGCAATAGGCTTTTTCAATGAAGAATATGCCTCATTAGATCGCTGCTTGGCTTGAACAATAGGCTGTTTCAATGAAGAATTTGCCTTTAGAATAGGATAAGGACCATCTTTAACAAGTGGTGAGTGACATTCATCATCAAACAAGGAGCTTAAAAACCCACTATCAAAGTCATCTCCCACAGACGAATCCCCGCTATTAGCTAACTTTTTAGCCATAGCCCTAGTAACAGCACAAGCAGGATATATATCAGAGTCCTCTTGGACAGAATCCTCAATAGAACAAGGCTGATCTGAAACAATGGGGTCTAATGATACCTTACCCCCAGCTAAATCATTGCCTAAAAGCAATGCGACTCCTTCAACAGGAAGTTGTGGCCTAACACCAACAATAACTGGCCCTTTGACTAACTCTGATGTGATATGAATACGATGGAGGGGAACTTTAGTAAAACCTAATTCAATGCCTTGCATCAAAATATGGGTACCTGTGAATGACTCCTCAGATAAAGGAAGGACACCTTCTAACAACAAAGTCTGAGATGCACCCGTGTCTCTAAGAATCTTAATTGGCTTTGAATTGGTATCATCACTTGACAGTGACACAGATCCTTCCGACATAAAAGGCTTATAATCCTCCATAATATCACTATGAGTAGATTTCTCAGTATGAGTATATGAATCCCAAACAATGGGCTTTCTTGAAATGGGAACTGTAGCACAACCATTTGAATGAGCAGAACCAGACATCTCTCTTCTATTCTTAATCCTATAGCATTCAGAAATAAGATGACCAGGCTTTTTACAATAATTACAGGTGACGTTTGATTTTGGACCTGAAGAATTTGATTGATCTGATTTTGAGCTAGAATTCTGTGATGAATTAGACTGGTCTTTTGCTTTGTTTGATGCATTTGATGATGAGGACTGATTTGATTTAGAGTCATATGAAGGTTTGTTACCTTGATAACCTCTAAAGTTAGAATTACCTTTGATAAAACTACCCTTATGAGTAAGAGCATAATCATCAGACAGGGTGGCAGCTTGACTTAAAGTTTCTACCTTGTGTTCATCTAAGTAAGTTCTAATGTGATATTGAACACAGTTTTTAAATTGTTCTATTAGCATAAGCTCTCTGAGCTTTTTGAACTCTTCAGATACATCTTTAGAGACAAGCCACCTGTCAAAAAGCTGCTCTTGCTCTCGAGCAAACTCAACATGGGTTTGGTCACTCTGTTTGTGGGCATTTCTAAATTTTTGTCTGTAAGCTTCTGGCACTAGTTCATAAGCTTTAAGAATTGCATTTTTAACTAGGTCATAATCAGAGCATGCTTCTGCTGAGAGAGACGCAAATATTTCACTCGCTTTACCAATGAATACACTTTGAAGCATAACTGGCCATGCTGATTTAGGCCAATCGAGGCTTTGAGCGACTTTTTCAAAATGCGTAAAGTATTTATCAACATTTTTCTCCTGAAATTTAGGTACAAATTTGAGAAATTTTGAAGCGTCAAATCTATTTTCAAAATGTTGATGCATAGTAGCATGTTCATCAGTTTTAGATTGAGCTTCTATTTCCAAACGTTTTAATTCAATTTCTCTTTGAATTTCTTGTTCTCTCATTTGTCTTTCATTTTCTCTTTTTTCTCTTTCATTTTGCATTTCCAACTCTTTTTCTCTTAATTCTTTTTCATTTTGCAACTCTTTTTCTCTCCTTTCATTTTCAAGCTCTTTTTCTCTTATTTCAAGCTCTTTAAGCCTTATAGGATCTACGGGCTCAACATGCTGGACTGGCTCTACAATAAGCTTTAATGCTTCTTCTGGTAATATTTCTTCCGCTACCAAATATGGTACCAGAATATTTTTTATTGCACCTTTTCGGTATGAAGTTTTTACTGCCAAACCAACATTTTTTGCTAGTGCCAGAAGTTCAGTTTTCTTTAACTTGTCAAACTCCTCCAAAGAGGGCGCTTCTAAAAATGTCTCAACCTCAAAACTCATTTTCAATTAATTGCTGTCTTCACAATTTAAATATACAAGTTTTGGATTTTGAATTTTAAAATATTTGTATTTTAGCTTGTTGTAGTTGTTTCCCGGACGAGCCCCCAATTTCTGTTACGTTCGAAAATAACAGAAAGTAAAAACAGCAATTAAAATACGATAACAATATATTTATATTTTGAAAACTAAATAATATAACAATAATATAAAGGAGGTTTAATACTTATGTGATGTCCAATCAATGATACGGCTTATTCTTGATGTCGATAAATGTCGTTGACGATACTTGAGAATGTTCCGGATCACGAAATGTTTCAATAATCGTTAATAGTTCTCCAATGTTTGTAATAATCCAATAATGTTTGTTGTAATCCTATAATGTTCGTATCCAATAATGTTTGATGATAATCCACAAATGTTTGATGATAATCCACAAATGTTTATGATAATCCACGAATATATATGATAATCCGTATATAATGTTTGTTGTAATATATGTCCATATAAAGTCCTCAGGTTGTATGTTTGTAGTGTTATAAATGTTCCCACAGTAGGTGTCTATAATATTCCGCTAAGAAGATGTCCTTCTGATAAACTTTGAAATTCTGCTACAGAGTAGATGTCCAGTTATGATGACTTAATTTATCTGCTACTGAGTCCACTTTGCAGTTTTATTTATAGTGTGAAAGAATCATCTAGAAATGAATCTTCTGGAACTACATCTTGATTGGACATCTTTAGTGACATGATTCAATCTGATTAAATGTTTACTAGTTTCCGAATATTCTAGAAGGTCAAGAGTTAATGAATCATTCAGTTCAGTTTTGTTTACAAGATATAATGTCATTGTGACCTTGACCTAAGATATCTAATAATAAAGAATAGCTCAACATATATAGTAAGCATAGATTACAAATTAAACTATAGGTGAATATAGTAGAATATAATATACATGTAGCTCACTACTGTAACACAGAGCAGGGCGCCATCTTTTGCTTCTAAAATAAATGTATACACAATGTAAATACAGATTTCTAATAGGGGCTACACGTTTTCAAGAGATAATATAATCGTGTAGCTTAACCTCCCTAATGATCAGTAATGAGATTTGATTCTCAATATGTAAGAAAAAACATGCATATTTCTTGAATCACCTGTTCTCTCCGGCGAGATGAATTGTCAGTGGATGATGCCCCAATAGTGTACCGGGACCGACCTCTTGAGTTTCTTCCTGTGTCACAAACGCATCTGTATATTCCACAAGACCTTGACTGAACCCCAGAGTATTGGTCTAAGCATGTCGCAATAGTCCTAGGTGGTGGGATCCAGATACATAACGCAAACAACCATTCTCTATGTCTGCAGAATCCAGAGCCAGCCAGAGTACCATACCTATAACACGTGCTAGTTGGTAAATTAGTCGGAAAAAGCGACGTGCACGTACATGGCGTGTGCTGTTCGTACATTTTGTGATCTTAATTAATGATAGTCATGATTCCAGAGTCAATCGGCGTAACGTCATACCTGCATCACGTGACCTTCGTTAATCAATCAAAAAATCAATCAAAAATATCACGTGACATTTGTAGGCTATGAGATAAAAGTCAATGGTACGTCATGCCTAAATGCGCGACATCTTTCAAGCGTCAATTTTACACTTCTGATAAAATTGTGACACCTTGCTTTTGACTGACCATTAAAGATTAACTTTTGCAAACTTGTCGAACCACTGATTTGTGTGTACATACCCTTTGAATGCATAAAATATTGACCATCCTGATGTGGCGGAGTTGGTTTTGCCCCCGGAGGCTTACAAAAATATGAGACATTGTTTACTTCACATTTTTCTTCCATCAAAAGCTCAGCTATATCTTTGAAAACACCTTCTGCCAACTCCTATGATAGTAAATATATGATAGTAAATATATAAATTGTGAACTGCAGTAAAACGGGTCATTGGCTTTAGTAAGAAGAGTATGTAACTTCCCAGATTCCAAATACAAGCATCATTACCATGGGGTCTCAGTATTGAAGTCAAATGTTTGTCGTGCACACTGTAACCTGCCAAACACCAAAAGCGGCACTGATTCAAAAGGCTTTGTATAAAAAACCTCCTACCCACGTACCCTCGTACCCACGTACGTGGGTCCTGACCCAGTCTTTAAAGAGTTAAATTTTTAAATGTTTAAAACATTATTCAATCTCAGTTTATCCTGAATTATAGATGAATTTATGCATCCACATGCCTTTATTTATAGGTCTGACATCTCTCTAGTAAAATAAAATAAAGCCAGAATTGCATAAATGTTCATTATTTTTGAGCTATTTGATTTATGTTTTTGATATGTCGAAATGTTTTTTGTTGATCGGGCAGTCTTACCTGTATAACACATCAGTGCTGATTAGCAATCTCCTAGCCTTCGTTCAGTGCAATCCGTGCCTCCTGTTACCTCATGCAGATTGTAAATGTCCCGGGAAGTTTACCCTTGTCCAAAAGTTGACATCTTTTTAAAAATATATTTCTTAGAGTTTCCAACCAATTAAATTCACCACATTTTATTAGATGTTTATTTCAAATGTTATTAGAATTCATTCTTACGAATATTATACGTTATTAACGTATGTTAGTCAAAGATTTGGTGTCGTTGTTGTCCATTGTATTCACGTTTTACGCGCAAAAAGCTAGAAACTACAAAGCTGAACTTATATCATTCAAACCAGTCTTACATCAAATCATTGTCAAAATAAAACTCTACTCTTCATATTACCTAATTATGGATCAAACGCCCATGAATAATGTCGAAGTTTACAAAACCAAACTTACACTCCCCTGCATAAGTTTGGCAACTCTAACTTTTAATTCCATCTAAATGATTCACTGAACTAGTGCGCACAATTATCCTTAAATTGTGCCAAAAAGCGATTAAAAACGAATACAGCGAATCCTTCTACTTTTCAAATATTTCGTTATTCAATTGCGCCACGGTTAAACAGAAATGCAGCCTTTATTATTCCTTGAGATCGTGTGAATTGATCACTCTATCACTTTGTATCTCCAATTCTGATGTTAAATTAAATAAAAGACATAAGACAAATTACACGTATAGTTCAAATCTGTCGTGCAAACAATGAATACTTGTAATATCGTTTGAAAGAATAAAAAGTATATGTGATAAAAATCGAAACTACAGGGTGTTAAAAAACAGGACCGATGAAAAGTTGAATAACTTCGTCAATCCAGAATCATTCAGGTCATTCAATGTGAATTTTGTTGTGAAAGTTTGACCATATTCTGCTCATGGAGTCAAAAACTACAGCACTTTGAGGTTTTAAAGCTATGTCTAAGCTACATCTTGACACTAAACTCAATAGGGGCCAATCATCTACTTTTTGAAATAATTGGTCAATTGTGACACTACCCCCTCTCTCTGCAGACACAAATTGAAATTCACAAAAATGAAGGCAAAATTAATACGCCACTTGACTCGAAATTTTCCTTCAGATAACCCAAATAAACGCATTTTCAGAAGAAATGGCATGTTGCCATTGCAAAAAGATTACAACTGTGCCTACATCCTAGCTTACTGACTCGTCATGATCACAATTGTGTTGGGACTACATTTATTTTTGAATACTACTTTTTTCGATTCAGCGGAAGTGACGTATTAGGGCATTTTTGCCTTTACAACATATGCCCCATGTGGCCAATTTGCGCCAAGCAATAGATTGGTTGTACACTGCAAGACTGCCCGATCAACAAAAAATCGCTTCGATATATCAAAAACAACACTCAAATAGCTCAAATGAACATTATGCAATGCCGGTTTTATTTTATGACGAGACAGATGTCCGATCTAGAAATAAAGGCATATGGGTACATAAATTCATCCATAATTAAGCATACATTGAGATAGAATAATGTTTAAAAAATGTTAAAGATTTAACTCTTTAAAGACTGGGTCAGGACCCACGTACGTGGGTACGAGGGTACGTGGGTAGGAGGTTTTTTATACAAAGCCGATTCAAAATGCTTTAAAATAATGTTTTATTGGAATATGCACATGATGCATTTTCTTTCCCATTTTGAACACCCTAAGCAATGCTCACCAAGTATTCATTGAAATTATGATTAAATTTATAGGCTCTTTATTTAACCGATTGAGTAAGAAGGTGTGAGGAAAATAACATAACACGTTTATGTTTAATTTCTCCCAAGTGTGTGTTTCACTGCATATCTTACTACATAGGGGCTGTGGCCCGGGAGCTGTGGATTCGTACGATCCGAGAATTAATCCGGGTAAATTTTGTCATGGTAATGAATGATGCATTGTGGGTCTTAACACCACACAAAATATTTACTTTGAAGAAGTCACTGAATCCTAGCATTCTTTCTAGACGTATCAACGTACTCTCGTCTGCCTTATTTTCATAGAAGGCATACCTAAAATAAAATTCATGTCACAACTTTTTATCTCCGGGAATTATCACCGGCTAGTTTTCGAATATAACACATCGTTAATATTCCCATATTCCTTACATCTTCCTTTATCTTGATGTGAAGGAACGAGCTATGAATGATATTGGTTAATACGTCAGAAATCAACAGATTATCATCCGAAGCATTAATAGGCGTATGTCATCTCTGGACCCTGGGGTTATTCCCCCTCTTCGACTATACAGGGTATGTAACACAATTTGACATAAACAGTGCGTATCAAAAAAAACGCAACCGATTATTATCTCAAAAAAGCACAAAACAAGTGATAATGCAGCATTGATTTCATTCAATGCACCATAAAGCCAGGTGTCTCCTCTTTACAATGGTATATCATTCATTGATATTTGGTCATGGTTGGGCGAGTAATCATTCCATTTGCAAAGTGGGCCGAAATTAGCTTTGGGCCAAGTTATAAACATCGCAAAAGTCGTACGGAGGCCGATGCAAAATTGGAAGAAAACATAGAACCAATGCTGACTGCATCCTTTTCATTCAATGTACCAAAAAGCCAAATTACTCCTCTTTGCAATGGAATATCATTCATTCATAGGAGTCATCTCTGGCCGAATAATCATTAATTTTGCAAAGTGAGGCAAAATTCAGCTCGGACCCAAGTTCTAATCATTGCAAAAGTCAGTACAAGGGGCATAGGGGCTATTGGAAGAAGGTGTGACAGGTGTAGCATAGACAGTAAAGTGTTCATACTCATACTCTTGCAAGAATACATTCTATACCCCTCCAAATTGCCACCACTTCCTTGCACATAAAGATGCGCTCATCTGTCCACGTCATGCATGGTTTGTCGCTGAGTCATCTGTTGGTTAAAGCAAAGAAAAGCAGCCCATGGGCAATTCTTTCTCGAGGTTTTGCAATATCTGGTGGCACATATGCTCCTGAGATAGCCCCAAAAGAAAAAGTCACAACAATACAAGTAAGAGGAACTTCCATTGGCACTTAGCCCTTGCACTGATTTTTTCAATATCTAAAACTTGGTGCAGAGCCGATTTTGACCCACTTTGCAAATGGAAGGATTTCTCACCTAACCATTATCACATGTGAATGAATGACATATCATTGCAAAGAGGAGAGACGTGGCTTTATGGTACATTGAACGAAATTGATGTAGTCATCACTAGTTATGTGATTTTACGAAATAACTACAGGGTGGTCAAAAAAAACGGCAACCCTAATTTTTTCTCATATCTTTGTCATTTTTGGAAATTTTGCCCTGATATTTGGCACAAATGTACATCATTCAATTTCATACTAGACTGTATTATTCCATGAACATTGGACTGATAGTCGCAATGTTACAGCACTTTAAACAAGGTGTCCCAGATTTCCAATATCGTGCTGTAGGCAAACCTGCACATGTTTTCAAAACCTGTCAATGACATAACAGCATTCCTCAGCAAGTATGGCCTGAATGACACATGTGATGTTTATTTTGAGGTCAATTTAAATGTCTTTCTGGTGTTATTACCCTACACTCTATCTTTGGGGTATCCCCACTGGTAAAGATTAAATGGGGCCATATCTGGGCTATGGGGTGCCCATTCATTGTCTGTTGTACTGCTGATAATGTGGTCATTGAAGTGGTCCCAAAGCCAATATTGTGCATCATTTGGTGTATGGGGTATGGTTCTGTCTTGTTGGAACCACTGTTGCTGCCTTTCAACCACCCTGGGTTCACATAAAGTCCCCAAGAACTCCATGGGAATCACAAAATAGAGTTTGATGTTGACAGTTATTGCATATCTGTTAGCATCATCAAAGGTAAAGGACCCTATCTTCTGAGAACACACTAAACTGTGCATCTGTCTGTGTGAAGGTGCCTCTCCACTACTTCATAAAGTGCTTGGCTCCCCAAGAATACATAATTGTTACAGTTTACCAGTGCATCAAGTTGGAAATGGAGTTCATTTGGATAACAGACCAGCTCAGACAGCCCGAAAGTGGCCATCTGGGGTATGTTGCTTAAAATGCAGTAATATTGTGACTATCAGTCCAATGGTCATGAAATATGGTAGGTTGGTAAGAAATTGAATGATGTACAAATGTGTAAAATATCAGGGAGTTATTTCTTAGAATGACAAAGATATTAGGAGAAATTAGGGTTGCCGTTTTTTGACCACCCTGTATTTGTTGCGTTTTTTTGATACGTCCTGTATAGCATTCATACGGCCTTGACCATTTATTGACATTAATTTGAAGCTAACAATAACATGTTTTAACAATTTTTCTATTCAACTCAGTGTGTCAAGAGTCCAAGCGTCGCTGATAAAAGTCGCAAAAATCCCGGTCAAAAATATTCTTGACATAACTGATTTTTACCTATTTGGAATGGTAGGTACAATTTTCTCCTGGTATTCCTCAAGGTGAGATCTAATATTTTGTATCTCCTCTGGCGTCAGAAAGTAATTCAGCTGAAATAAGTCGATGTATCAAATAATGTGATCTGATATGTTCTTTACCCGACGATTTATTTTCGATTTTTAAATTCGATGTATTATTTACCCTATCTTACGGACATGTTCTTGTGCTGAAATCCACTTCCCAATCAACTTACTCTGAAGTATCCATCTCTTTTGAATGATTTCTTCAGCTCACTTAGTTCGACTCTTTCTGACAGTTCGATCGAAGAAAATTGGGACGCCATTGCCACGCGCATGTATATAACAAATAAGATGCACTGTTTATATTTATTTAGGCACTTGAACTTGAGGGCAACCTTACATCACAATGTTTATCATATACGGGAGATATCTTCTCAATGAGATTCATCAAAGCTCTTATCAAATATCAATTGCGTGAAAAGATAATTTGATTGCATACATGTCATGTACTTACTTTTCTAACATTTACATATCTACAGGGTGTCCCAAAATACCCAAATGAGAAGGGAGTAACTCTTTTTTTAAAAAAAAGCTTAAATCATTATATAAATGAATTAGAGTGCTGCTAACTCGATAAAAGGCTGGCGCTGGCTAAAATTGTCTATGGTTCTAGCCAGGATAAAGATACCAGTTCTTCAACTCGACAATGGGAAGAACTGCTCTACCTTAGTGACTAATATGTCATGATATGACATCTAAAGAGTCAATAAAAGATATATATAATGAAGAAAATTCATAAAAAAAATCATAGTTTGTAAATTAGAAATTTGATATTTTAGATGACATGTTCCAAATGACTTCAATTATGACCGATGCACAGCTGGATGCAATTACTGAAAGGAGCGTAAATGGAGTTACCTGGTGAAATTTTCAGATCTTTATAATAGTTAAACTGTCTGTGTTAGATGACAAAAATCTGGTTGCAACATGGAAAAATGGGTAGTGGTAATAAACAAGATTTTCTGCAAAACTAAACATTTTTTGGACACCCTGTGTATCGTCAGGATTGATGTCCATACTCATACCGGGACTCATACTCACACCGAGGAAAGAAATGAAGACATCGCCGTCATTCAAAGCATAAATCATCGAATTTTCATTGTTGCATTCGATAACTTGACTAACTGATTTTTGATTTCGCTGTCATTAGAAGTAACGGCAAATCCTTCTTTGCTACCTTTCTGACCCCATGCAACGTTTGAACGTATGTTTTTATCATTCATTTAAATTTTCATGACTTCAAAAGTTATTTATGAGATTTTTACAAAATTAAAACTATTTTGTAAAAAGGTTGTCACCACCATTTTTCAATAGAGTTGAAAACTTAAATCATCAAATATTCCCGACTATACAAAACAACACATCACAAGTCTTTTTAACACGATTGCGAAGATTGAACAAAGGACACACTGTTTCAATAGTAAAATGTCATATCTAAAGGATAGCCGTTCTCCAATTCTCGACGGATGATCGAGCGTTCATTATGCAATCTACAGCCGGTATTCTGTATTGAGTTGTTACATCTAGGGCTCTGTCTGTGAATAACACACACGTTCATCTTGTAAAAAAACATTGCTGTTTTCCACACATATTCAAGTTACTTTTATTGCACCTTTTCCCCGAGAACATGCTTTATTTTCTAGGTTTCAAATAACAAATTATACATCCCAGCCATGAATTGAGCAACCTGAAACGTTCATTGAATGATCATATCAAAGCCTTTCAAACTTTTTCCTATTTCTCAATAGCAATACTATACAATACTAATGCTTTTTTGTCATGTTTTGCTTTATTTTCATTTTACATACATTTTACATGTCTCGTCTGTACAAGGAACAACAAAATGAAAATGTATTTTTGAGTGAGGCAAGTAGTGTGTGAATGAGGCAAATCAGTTTAATTAAATATTTGACATTAGGGATAAGCTTTCCTATGATCATGCCAATATTATTGTAATAAGCAGAATTAAAAGTGTTAATACAGAGTGGGCCAAAAAATGTCATCCATTCTTATTGTAATCGAATATTAATAGGTTTAACATTTTTTGGTCAACCCTGTATTAATCATCGAATTTTCATTGTTGCATTCGATAACTTGACTAACTGATTTTTGATTTCGCTGTCATTAGAAGTAACGGCAAATCCTTCTTTGCTACCTTTCTGACCCCATGCAACGTTTGAACGTATGTTTTTATCATTCATTTAAATTTTCATGACTTCAAAAGTTATTTATGAGATTTTTACAAAATTAAAACTATTTTGTAAAAAGATTGTCACCACCATTTTTCAATAGAGTTGAAAACTTAAATCATCAAATATTCCCGACTATACAAAACAACACATCACAAGTCTTTTTAACACGATTGCGAAGATTGAACAAAGGACACACTGTTTCAATAGTAAAATGTCATATCTAAAGGATAGCCGTTCTCCAATTCTCGACGGATGATCGAGCGTTCATTATGCAATCTACAGCCGGTATTCTGTATTGAGTTGTTACATCTAGGGCTCTGTCTGTGAATAACACACACGTTCATCTTGTAAAAAAACATTGCTGTTTTCCACACATATTCAAGTTACTTTTATTGCACCTTTTCCCCGAGAACATGCTTTATTTTCTAGGTTTCAAATAACAAATTATACATCCCAGCCATGAATTGAGCAACCTGAAACGTTCATTGAATGATCATATCAAAGCCTTTCAAACTTTTTCCTATTTCTCAATAGCAATACTATACAATACTAATGCTTTTTTGTCATGTTTTGCTTTATTTTCATTTTACATACATTTTACATGTCTCGTCTGTACAAGGAACAACAAAATGAAAATGTATTTTTGAGTGAGGCAAGTAGTGTGTGAATGAGGCAAATCAGTTTAATTAAATATTTGACATTAGGGATAAGCTTTCCTATGATCATGCCAATATTATTGTAATAAGCAGAATTAAAAGTGTTAATACAGAGTGGGCCAAAAAATGTCATCCATTCTTATTGTAATCGAATATTAATAGGTTTAACATTTTTTGGTCAACCCTGTATTAATATTTGGGCGTTATTACTCATTCCACCAAAGCGGGTTCCAATGGAACCGCTATACAGACTGTATAAATCATAAACTTATTACATATTACATATACATAAATAATGTATTCTTTCCATGCGTTCTTTTTTTGCACTTATTTACAGTTTATCACAGTTCTTAGTTATTTGTCCTTCTTCTTAGCAGGAGGTATGATGATCTTTTCAAGATTGAGGAACGGCATTTCGAAGACCAGAGTCAATATAATACTTGCACCAATCGTAAGCATGATGTAGGCACAAAACATATACACCTGGAAATATACAATTGGACCAGAGTCAATATAATACTTGCACCAATCGTGAGCATGATGTAGGCACAAATCATATACACCTGGAAATATACAATTGGACCAGAGTCAATATAATACTTGCACCAATCGTGAGCATGATGTAGGCACAAAACATAAACACCTGAAAATATACAATTAGACCAGAGTCAAATAATACTTGCACCAATCGTGAGCATGATGTAGGCACAAAACATATACACCTGGAAATATACAATTAGACCAGAGTCAATATAATACTTGCACCAATCGTGAGCATGATGTAGGCACAAAACATATACACCTGAAAATATACAATTAGACCAGAGTCAATATAATACTTGCACCAATCGTGAGCATGATGTAGGCACAAAACATATACACCTGGAAATATACAATTAGACCAGAGTCAATATAATACTTGCACCAATCGTAAGCATGATGTAGGCACAAAACATATACACCTGCAAATATACAATTGGACCAGAGTCAATATAATACTTGCACCAATCGTGAACATGATGTAGGCACAAAACATATACACCTGCAAATATACAATCGGACCAGAGTCAATATAATACTTGCTCCAATCGTGAGCAAGATGTAGGCACAAAACATATACACCTGGAAATATACAATTGGACCAGAGTCAATATAATACTTGCACCAATCGTGAGCATGATGTAGGCATAAAACATATACACCTGCAAATATACAATCGGACCAGAGTCAATATAATACTTGCTCCAATCGTGAACATGATGTAGGCATAAAACATATACACCTGAAAATATACAATTAGACCAGAGTCAATATAATACTTGCACCAATCGTGAGCATGATGTAGGCACAAAACATATACACCTGGAAATATACAATTAGACCAGAGTCAATATAATACTTGCACCAATCGTAAGCATGATGTAGGCACAAAACATATACACCTGCAAATATACAATTGGACCAGAGTCAATATAATACTTGCACCAATCGTGAACATGATGTAGGCACAAAACATATACACCTGCAAATATACAATCGGACCAGAGTCAATATAATACTTGCTCCAATCGTGAGCAAGATGTAGGCACAAAACATATACACCTGGAAATATACAATCGGACCAGAGTCAATATAATACTTGCACCAATCGTAAGCATGATGTAGGCACAAAACATATACACCTGCAAATATACAATTGGACCAGAGTCAATATAATACTTGCACCAATCGTGAACATGATGTAGGCACAAAACATATACACCTGCAAATATACAATCGGACCAGAGTCAATATAATACTTGCTCCAATCGTGAGCAAGATGTAGGCACAAAACATATACACCTGGAAATATACAATCGGACCAGAGTCAATATAATACTTGCACCAATCGTGAACATGATGTAGGCACAAAACATATACACCTGCAAATATACAATTGGACCAGAGTCAATATAATACTTGCACCAATCGTGAACATGATGTAGGCACAAAACATATACACCTGCAAATATACAATCGGACCATAGTCAATATAATACTTGCACCAATCGTGAACATGATGTAGGCACAAAACATATACACCTGCAAATATACAATTGGACCAGAGTCAATATAATACTTGCACCAATCGTGAACATGATGTAGGCACAAAACATATACACCTGCAAATATACAATCGGACCATAGTCAATATAATACTTGCACCAATCGTGAGCCAAATGTAAGCACAAAACATATACACCTGCAAATATACAATTAGCCTAGACCAGAGTCAATAAAAAATACAACAAACATTGTCGAGGGGATACTAGGTTTTGAGATATCATTCGATTCAGAGAATTATTCGATCGAGAGAATAAAAAACATTCGCGCGAAAACTAGTGATCACTCCCGGGAGCAATCATGATTCTTAGCGTCAACACATCTCCCGTTCAAGGCCAGTTTTGTATGAGACGGCAACTAAACTTACCATTTCTGGCCATACTCTCATGTACTGAAGAAACATCTTGGAGTAGTTGTAGTACACCTGTAAATAGGGATGGATCAGGTACCCCGTGTAGGTAAGTCTCGAGAGAGGGATCCAACCTTTCCAGGAAAACAGTGTGTTAATATAACCTGGAAGAAAAATGAATATAATTTAATTACAGTAGTTATGATGGACGTACAGTATGAATGATTTGTGTTTGACAAAAGCACATTCTAAATGTTTTTAAAATAATTGGAGACTCGAAACATTTTGGGTATCGTATTAAAACGCTGTGAAAATATGGTTAAATCTTAAAATATTTATTTTCATGACATGAAAAATCTTTTAATTTGAGACATTTGTTTTAAAAAAGTGGTTTATCTTATAATTTTCAAATATTTAAATTTTCAAATAATTTAACACACTATTTTCTCTAATCCATTAAATAGATGATAATATTAGTGCAGACGGGGAAATAACTAAGAAAACTGAAAGTTATCAACCAAATCACCTCCATATCCTGTGATACAAGCGAAAGCTATCCACGCTATGCCGACTGCAGTCATTTGCCTTTGCGTGCTGAGGAACATGATATTTAACCATTGCGGAATTGGGGTACAAGTTGAACACCTCCAGTTTCCAAATGTCGTGGCAAATATTAGACCCAGAGAGAATATCCATCCTAACATTGCCACCCACTGAAACAAAATTTTTCAAATGAATATTACATGGAATCCAATATATTGATTGCATTTACACATACTATTATATTGTCAAGCTTGTATTATATGGTCCAAAAACTTAGAACGTCTATTAGAACGGACAACGACTATCCAACGACTACTTGTACTCTCTAAATGTATATTACTCCGGGGATGCTGCTTACCCTCGACATTTTCACTTTGCTTTTTGTCTTCCACAGTATGTATCCCAACCAGACCCCGACAATGTATGATCCTATCCTAGACCAAGGCTTCACATAGTCGTTACCAAATGTCGCTAGACCAAGGATGTGAAGAGTTACTATGGCAACAATACTTCCAACAAAAAGAATCCCGGATATGATATAACCAACAATAGGAATCCTGAAAGTATTATGAGTTTATACTGAAAGACTAGCTAAGAGTTTTGACCATTTGACATTCATTTTGGACTAACATTGTTAAGCAATTGCGATCGAGATCAGGTACAGGAGTAAAATAAGGACCAAAACAGTGCCTCCAGAATAGAAGGAGTAAAAAGCTCCATAGGTGCTAGGCTGACAAGCTTCAAATCCAATTGCAAGGTGATGACAAAAGGCCAAAATGAAACAAGGCGCTAAGACGCAATGTCACCACATATCATTTGTTACAGACGCCGAGTGCCGAATACGACCCACAAAAGGTTTGAGACTATAACAATATGTCAAGAGAGAGAGACGGAGAGAATGGTGGTGACAGAGTTGAACGCCCAACAGTCTATTTGTGAATTTCTAACTTAAGAACACACCCAATGCAACTATAAAAGATTAAACTTACTTGTAAAGGAAGACAAATATCAGTGGTGATATTACGTAGAACTGGAAATCATTGGCTAGATACCAGGACCATCTCATACACTAAAATTACATAATAAAGGAAATTAGAAAATTAAAGTACTTTAGGCCATCCTTACAGTTCTTAAGGTTATTCAATGATTCCAGATTTCCTGGACCATAATTATTTCTCGATTCTGTATTCAATCCGAACGCTAATAAAAAACGCCGTTGCTCGCATATTTGGAATATATCCTCGATTTCAATGTGTTGTCAAAGGGGCAGGTACGTTATTGAGAGCATTTTTAGACAGTTCTTACTTAAGTTCTAATAATTATTTGACCACAAAAACAAATACGTTTGTTTGGCCAACATGTTATCTTAAATAAGGGGCAATAGAATGATCTCTTCAGCTGATAATCCTTTTTTTCTCTGCATTTTGGTGGAAATTTGCTCATAATTGGAGATGATGGGTGGATTAATGACAGCTTAAGAGATAATCCGATCGACTTTATTTTATTCTATTGCCCCTTATTGAAGATATTGGCCAATCAAACGCATTTGTTTTTGTGGTCAAATAATAATTAGAACTTAAGTAAGAGCTGTCTAAAAAAGTTTGCTATAACGTACCTGCCTTTTTTCAAAGAATGAGGGGAGTCAAATATATTTTCAGTTTGGTCAGGAGAAATGAACTAAATTATTTTGCCATTAATAACATCCTCATTTTCCAGATATGAATCAGTCGGGACATTTTATAATAGAGCGTTAATTAGCGTTTCCAGGAAAAATCTCTCAAGTGGACATTCGTAATTGTTAAAGTAACGAAAGTGCATATACATACATATTGTGTGTTAGTTGAATAGTCGTAAAAGTTGTTGATGTACAATAGATGCCACCACCAGTTCTTCCGGCAGTTTTCAGCATCAGGCAAATACTTTGGCCACAGTGGTCCCTTTGCCGTGTACATACATAGTGTTGCCATGAATCCCAAAACTACCATATACACTGGTGTTAATCTAAAATGAAATAAACCCAAATGGAACTGAAAAGTGAAACCTGTGTAGGCATACATAAGGTTTTCTGAGGATATATACAAAAAGCACAATAACATTACTATGCCCAAACTTTTCCAAATAATACACATTGAACTGGATTCATAATAACAAGAAATTGGCAAATCAGTAACCATGGTAACTAACCTCCAATATCTATGGAAATAATATAGCGACATCTGTCGGCACGTAATTGAACCTCCTTGCCGCGCCATTGCTTTCATGAAGGAAATTGTGATAAGGCATCCACTGGAATGAAAATAAGTAAACCAGGATACATACGAGTATATGGATACGTTGACATTAAATTTACCTAGGCCCTCCTAGTGCATGTATGTTATCAAGTGTAAAATTGTATTGCAAATAAATATAATTTAACCTTAAAAGAAACCTTAACTAGGAAGGGTCACACTTTGTCTAACCTGAGAAGAAAGAAGCCTTCCACACCGTTCTGCATGTTTGTCAAAGCTTTGTACTCGAATGTCGTATAATATTCCGTAACCCATGGAATAGGATTTACTGAAATGATACAAAGATATAGAGTTCTTCAATGATTCCACCAGGCACCATCAATTCCCAAACTCATCATCTGTCGCTTGTTATTTTATATAAATAAGTCCCATCCCCCTGCTACAACGAATACCTATAGATGGAACCTACTGTGATATACCATTGGAAAAATCATCCAAAGTTACATTAACTCACACCTAAAATAGGTGTGTGAAGAGAGCGTATGACAGTTGCTGTACTCGTCGTACGCTTGGAGAATGATTACAAATGAAAAATGGTGCTATACTTACAGCCAGTGAGTCCGGTTGCAGAATCAGTGATCCCGAGTTGAAAACCATGGCCGAGGACGATCCAGCACATACAGAGGAATCTGATGGCGTTAAGACAGAGATATGAGCCTTTTGGAGCGTCGAATGACATCAAAGAACAGATATTTGTATATGCAGAGAACGACATTAACAGCCGAGATGGTATGCCTAAGAAATACAATATGACAAAATGGAAATCATTCTAAGAGTCAAAGTCACGAATAAACCTTAGTGCAATCAAATGATTTATTTTGAGAATATTTTTTGGAACGATTGCGAAAATTAAAAGTCGACCTGCCCTCTTAAAGAGAGGCCATCTAGGTAGTATAACATTGGACCTACCCGGTTGATACTTAGGTGGCTTGTTAATCAAAGATGCATTCCTTGCAAAACCATTTGGGGTAACATGTTTCATTTCGATAGCAGTCACCCCATTCGACTCTTTTCCGTTTGGTATCAATTCCTCCGAACCTTTATCGACGTAATAATTGGTACTCGTGTTCTCAGGTTTAATGGCTGCTTCTTGTGCTTCAAATGCCTTATTCACTTCAGCTCTTTTCATCGATGCTTTGTACACATGCTCTTGTTCTTTTTCTTGTGTTAACAATCGCTGTACGTACGCCATGTCAAAAACAGTGGCGACCAAAACAAGGGCGAAGAATACCAGGATGATGACACTATTAACATTGGAAAAGAATGAAATAGATCACTATATCATATCAGCATGTTAATTAATGGAGCTAATTGAGAGACTGGGCATCAAAAAGGCACGTGTACCAGATCATGAAGGTATATAATCATGATTATCCTATGCCAAGTAGACTTTTAGGGAGATAAGTTGGTAAGATATATTCTGTTTCCTGATTTTGAGGTTTCCATATCCAGAACCTCCATATCTCGCGCCACATCTCCAGCTTCGGTGCATATCTTCCCGCTTCCGGTAATTTCACTGAAAACTCTACTTGGTATAGGATAAAGCAGTTATGTACGGTCGGTTTGGATATTGGGCTCATCCCTCGTGAGATATGCACATCTCCCTCTGGATAAACCCCATATCCAAAACCTCCCAGTACACAACCCTTATGTATTTCAAGTCAATAAGCGGATATATCTAAATGTTTTTCAACTCACAGCATTACAACTGCACCAGTGTCCTGCCAGAAATAATCCCACTTCCGTCCATCATCAATCTGTAGAACATTGACTGACGTAGTTCCCTGGCTCATGTATGTCTGGATGTCACTTTCGCTACAGCTGTCTGGTACACACATTCCGATACTAAGTTCAGTCTGAAGAAAATTACTTTACATCAAATCATGGGCTAGAGAGCCATAGAAAGCTCATTAATACGGATATTTTAAAATCCTTACTAAAGAATTTAGTAGGTAGCCATTGTGTACATTTTCAACAAAATGTTTGAAAATTTTTCATGCAAAATTCCACGTGCTAAAAGATCATCCATTTTACACAAATGACAAAAATTGAACATTGAATCATATTTTGCAGAAAAATATGACCGAAATATACTATAGTACCTTAATATACGGTAGCTAGGTATCTAGTAGCTAATATTTAGTCATCCATATGCTCATTTCCAGAACATAGGCTCAATGTCGTAACAATTCTTTGTACCCGCACGAGACGGTCATTGATTGATTTTATGGACTCACCGTAAAACCTGGAACATAGACTATGAATATCTTAATAGTCATGTACTGACCATTGAATTTCCCCTGTAGGTACACATCTTGGCCATTCTCAGTAAAGTTGGCAGATCCTTCAAACTAAATAGTATCAAACTTAACAATATAGATACATAAAAATAAATATTTTAGGTGTTGCTTTGTTTTTTGTTTATTTTTTCCCCGTTTATTTCTTCGATTTGTTTTTAACATGAAATTGTAAAAATGTATGTTTTATAGTTATAGTGTTGCCTTGATAGTACTAGCTTAGTCTAAGTACGACAGAGTTAGACTACATTGCAATTCAGATATTACGTCATTGGCGTGGGCAGGGGGTGGGGTGCGATCGCACCCTCCCCCATAACTAATAAAACTAGAAGCATTAGATAGAAGAAGAAAAGAGCTTTAAAATGCTTTTTATTTGAAGTTTCTATTTCAGTTTGGAAGGAAGCTGCATCAATTTTTGTAAAATTCAAAACAAATCTGAAAAATGTGTGCTGCTTGTGCCACAATCGAAACCCAAAGACTGTAAACCAAAATCATTGGGGCGAAAGCTACATGTAGCTCAGCCCCTGCACTGGCGGATTAGGGGGGGGGGGGGGGGGGGGACTGGGGGCCTTTTAAGGCCTTATTATTATTTTTATTTCAGGCCAAATTTTGAAGAAAATGGGCCTCAAAATTTCAAAATTTGGGCCCACTTTCGGGATCTAGGGGCCCAAATTTTTTTTTATGGGCTTTAATATTATACGAACCTTGATCTCCATACATTGTCTGTATGAGCCAAGCCATGAAAGTGAACCAACGAGGACACCTGGAAGCTTCTTGCCGTCAGAATCGATCACTATAACAACATACCAGAAGTGAGCGTGTATTTCAAGAAAAGGTAAAGGAGTAATGGGAGTTAAACAAGTAAAGAATAATGTAGATGAAACGTTTTTAAAGCAAGTAACACCCCAGTCACATTTCCCACGGCCGCCGTTCGGTCTATCATTTCTGCGACCAGTAGCTTTTCTACGCTCGCCGTAGAATTTCTGCGCTCTCATACTTTTACAGTCACATTTCCCACGGCAGCCGCACGGTGAATTTTAAATTTCTGTTGATAAATAATACTTTTTTTCATCATTTATTTACATCAGGACAATTAATAAATGTTATTCATAGTGCTAGGATGTAATATCAAATGAAAAGTGATCGTGAAACATTGGCAAATAATGATTCAATCTTGTTGAGCCAGTTGATTTCTACGGGGACCGCAGAAACGAACAAATATTATAACTTCGAGTTATAATTTCTACGGCGACCCTGCGGCCTGTTGAAAACTGGATACGCCGTACGGAGACCGCAAGGCGAGCGTAGTTTTTTTACGCTCGCCGCAGTAATTCACTGATTTAATTGATCTGCGGTCATGCACGGCCTCCGTACGACAAATGTGACTGGGGTGTTAGGAACATGTTAAACAAGTTAAAGGCGGGTAATCAGTTTACTTAACGTTTACAGCGGAGAGCAGGTAAGAAACAAGTTTACTTTTAAAACAAGCAAAAAAACACGTGAGAAAAGGAAGAGTTCTTTTCTAAAACGAAGGCATCTATTTCTAAATTAAACCAAGGACGTATAAGAAAGAGTTGTTTTCTATTACACCAGTAGCTAATTATACACTGGAAAGGAGTTTATTTCTAAAACAAGCAAATTATTTGTAAACATGTGTTTATTTTTAAAACAAGCAAAGGCAAGGTAAGAAATGAGCGTATTTTTCAAACAAGCAAAATAGCAGGATACAAGGGCCGTATTTCCGAAACAAATTATATGCAGGTCGGAGGAGTCAGACAATTTGAAAATACGATTATATCCAACATTGTTCTTCGTGATTTTCAGCCTTCTTGCGGGGAGTGTATAGAACTTAAAATCGAATGCTTTTCTTTGGGGCACTATTCCAAAGAATATCTGCTTAAATGTGAATCTCCCTGAAATGTGAATCTCCCTGAAATGTGAATCTCCCTAAAATGTGAATCTCCCTGGAATTGAATCTTCTTATTACGTGAATCTCCCTGAAATGTGGATCTCCTTAAAATGGGAATCTCCCTGAAATGTGAATGAATAGTTCGAAACACAGAATTAAGTAAAGCAAATACTTACTGCTAAAGATATCAAGAAAAGCAAGGGGTTGGCCTTTCTCAATAACGTTAAAATAAAAGTTGACATCATTTCTGCATTTCGGTGTTATAGTGTCCAAGATCGTCTGATTAGTCAGCGTGCTTCCGAGGTAGAGCGGCGATTGTAACCTATCAAACAAATCGACGACCAAAATTGCTTGATCCAGTCGTTGCCCTTGTACAATATGTGAACCAATCGTTAATGACATCCCAAGTACTAGGAAGATCTTCATAATTGGTAGCATCTTCACGGTCAACAGAGTCGCTCCCGAGGAGTCGCTGTGTTTAGAGTTGATACGTTACAGCTCGGAATACAGTTATATGAAAGTCACTCCACTCCGTAGGCTTATATCTGACCATGTACGATACAACAATGAAGCTATAACCAGATGAATCGACTTAAGATGTTATGTTCACAAAGATGATAAGTTCTGTTACTTAAGGCGAGTTACTATGCCTTTATCTCTTATTTATTTGTGTTATTATACTGATTCATGGTCTTGTGTTTATGTAGGTGACAAATTGTAGCGAGACCTCAGTAATGCACCTTTGAACGGATTAAATAGACCTGACATGGGTTGTATTTCATTCACGTGGGTCAAGTGTGTATACATTTTTGTAGTGAGTGAGTTGCGGTCTCTCCTTCCGGTCTCAAAGAAATCCCTTTTGGTTGCACCCCTTCATCTCCGGGGCCTTGGCCAATAAATACATCTATACATTTTAGCTTAGCATTTATAAAACAAGGGACATTCTATTACATCATTTTGACTTCATTTAATACTATTTTAGTTTATCTATTATGTACATGGACCTCTGACGTCCATGCGTATTACTAGTTACTTATTAATTTTGATCCGAGTAACTGTATATATATAGATATAAAAGGCCTACTTAATTCTATGATAATGATAACATGTAATGCAATTCATTAACGTTTGTATTGATACTCTTTAATTTATTGCAGTTTAAAAATTGGGTTTCATACTTATAGTCAGGGATGTACAGGGTGTTCCAACAGAAGTTACTTTTGGAACACCCTGTATATGCCTAATACACGTTATTAATTTAAAATAAGGAATTTCACTGTTTTAAGTAAAGCTGTTCAGAAATCCTATGAAATGCTCAGACCTCTACTAAGAAAGATCTTTATAATTCTTCCAATGAAACTGTTCCGATCTCTGCTATTGAGAAGTTCGGATCTTTATGAAGTAATTGCTGAGATTTCTGATTTCACCATGTTTACAAGGGCACTGAAATGGTAAGATCTCTAAGGAACTCTAAAGGAAGATATTCAGGTCTCTTCATAATTCAAATGAAACTGTTCAGATCTCTACCAAGATGTCCAGATCTTTACTCAGGCAAATGCTCAGATTTCTACAATGAAAGGTGTCAAGATTCGAAACCTACAAACCAAACAGTCAGTAAACACACAGCTGTAACTTAGCAATCATATGACGTCACATTCGTAAGACATATTTCAATAATTCGAGAGATAGCCATGGTGATAAAGCAACAAACTTAATTGTTCTGTAATTACGTCACATAAACTTTGCATTTGTAATGGATACATAAAACAAAATAAAAAAACAACAAAATAAACAATCAGACAAAAAATGTCACAAGAAAAAGAAAATGAAAGTCCTAGCAAAGAGCGAATGACGGTGCTGGAAGCCCATGGGTTTCAATTGGGGAAATCTTTAGGTTATGGCTCGTACGCAACTGTAAAAGCGGCACATTCAACAAAGCATGACTGCAAGGTCGCCATCAAAATCGTTTCGAAAAGAAGAGCTCCACCGGATTATATCGCTAAGTTTCTTCCCCGAGAGATTGAAGTTGTCAAAATTTTGAAACACCCAAATCTCGTTTGTTTTCTACAATCAATAGAAACAACAAATCGGGTATATTTCATAATGGAACTGGCGGGAAACGGAGATCTCCTCGACGTTATCAAACGTGAAGGTGTAATCCCAGAACAACAAGCAGGGATTTGGTTCCACCAACTCGTAGCAGGGATTGCTTACTGTCACAGAAAAGGTGTTGTACACAGAGATCTTAAATGTGAAAATGTACTTCTTGACAGTCGAAACAACTTAAAAATAACTGACTTCGGATTTGCCCGTGGCGGAATGAAACCAGGGTTAGACGGGAAGCGTATATTAAGTGAAACCTACTGCGGAAGCTATGCGTATGCTCCTCCAGAGATTCTGAAGGGAATTCCATATGAGCCACAAGTTGCAGATATATGGAGCACGGGAGTGATTCTTTTTACAATGGTATGACAGAGGCTAGAGTTAAGGTTAGGCGAGGCAGGAGTTAATAAGCGAGGCAAATTTAGGCTAAATGAGGTATAGGACTCCATTTCTAAAATTTTGGTTGAAAAAAAAAAACATTTGAAAAATATATTGATCTCAAATTTTGATCGCCTGCCTCATGCCTGGCTGCGCCCATGCCCTGGGTACTAATATAAGTAGGACAGTCAGTATGATGGATTCAACAGTGACTGTGGCGCCTGATCATGAGTTTCTTCAGTGCCTTAGTTTCATTTACTGATCAAGCCTAAGATCCCGTTCAATTTTTTACTTGAGTGATGTCAAAGTGGTGGACGAGAAGTGAAATAAATAGTTCACTTATGCTTCGACGACATCAGAAACTTCTTTAACTTATCATTAGAGTTATAATATCTCATATATTTTAGGTCTGCGGACGACTTCCTTATGACGACAGCAATCACAAGACGCTTTTACGACAGGTTCAAAGCAAGATTGTCTTTCCGTCCAAGATCAATCTGGACACGGATTTGAAGGACCTCATTCAGAATATTCTAGTGAAATGCCAGGAAAGAATTACTATACAGAACATCCGTCGGCATCCTTGGTTTACTAAAGTCGCTCCCGATTCAGAGATATGCATGTTTTGACAATTGAAATTATTTTTATTTGTTGTTATTTAATTGAAAAATCTAGTTGCTTTTGAAATGAAATCGAAAATACAATGAAAACAATTGACAACATAATAAAATCTGTATATACATTTGTTGTTTGGCACAATAATCCCTATTAACATTAATTTTCAATCTTGATATAAGCCCATCTTTAAATATTTCTTCCATACAATAAGGGTAACGTTGGTACGTTGAGTTTTAACTTAATAAAATAGAATGATGACGAATGATAAAGTTCGAGCATATAGTGCATTACTTCTGGGACAACCCTCGTACAAGTCCTGTTTGTTGGCTCTAACTTTTCTTGATGGAAGAATGTTTTTCTACTCATATAGATGGCGCTGTTTATTATGGTTAGTCGATTATTAGAACAGCATTATCTGGTATAATCTAATTTTGATCTTTTATATGCATGATTTGGCGTCAAGCTCGACTTATCTTGTAAAGATCCAAATGTTGATAAAGTACGGCCATCCTAGGTCAAAAGCTCAGATATCAAAACACTGCGCAGAGAATACATAGTTACTATTATAATACTGAAATAATTCGAGGTGAATGACACACGCTATTGTCACAATTCCGTTTTGGGCATTTGTTTTTTCACTTGAGTTTTTGACATCTGTGCTTTCTCTTCAGTAGTAGGTTTATATACGGCGCTATATTTCACACTTCTTTTTCGGCTTTTCGCCTTACGTTTCTTCACAATGCAGCATACTACAGAAAGGATTACGATGATGATGATGAGGGCGATGGGAAGGACGATGACCAGGATGAGGGTAATTCCTGTAAGACCAGCGGTTGTTGGTGTCCGGTTGTCATTCTCACAAACGAACTCATTGGGATGGAGCGAAGTCACTGTGCGGTTGATTAGTTGTTCAGGTCCTGTACATCTGAAAAATGATAAACATTCATTCATCACCATGAAAACTGTTTAACTAGTGACCTTTCATGTGTTATTGATATTTCACACACTGTTCATTATGTGGATACTCTGTTCTGATTGGCTGGAATCGGACACACCTTGCCTAGCTATGTGTGAATGAGATACCAATCCTCCAATACAATATGATGGTGTGACTGAGTATATGATAAAGGTGTGGTTTAACACAATGCAATGGAGACCTTTAGTTTATTGTACTCCATATAGTACAAGTACACATACGTTTTCTACTTACATCAAGAGCTCTCCCGATCTAGAAGCTGCCAGTTGTGCCCAAGCCAGTTCACAATCACATTCTAACGGATTCCCCTCCATCATTACATTGATGCGTTCCCATGGTAACATGGATGGATGAAGGCCAATGATCTGGTTACCTCGGAGATTTACTTCCTTGATGGTATCATAGAAATACTGAAACGCCCCCGTTTCTATGGTATGTATGCTATTGTAGCTTAGATCCAACATAGTCAGTTGCATTAAACCGTTGAATGAATTATTTGTGATGTATTCAATATCGTTGTGCTGAAGATGAAGCTGCTGTAGGGACTGAAGATATAGGAATCCATCGTCATGCAACTGTGCAATGCTGCACGAACGCAGGTTCAGCATTTGCGTCTGTTTTAACACGCTTAAGGCCTTGTAAGGAATACCTCCTTGGAAGTTGTTCATTTCCAAGGCAACATCCGTAAGGTTGGGAAGATTGGCAAATATGTTATCTTCGAGTCTTCGGAGTTTATTATTCCTCAAGTCTATCAACCTTAAGGATTTTAGATCGGCAAATGCGTTCTGTAGTTCATATATTTGATTTCCATATAATGTTAAATTTTCTAGTCGATCCAGGCCGGTGAGTGTCTCCTGAAATAGACGTTGGATTGTATTGTTAGATAGGTCAAGTTCATGGAGATGGACTCCGTGGTCTTCTTCGGGGCTTTTGAATGCTAGTTTTTCGATTTTCTGAATTCCATTATTCCTCATGTACATATACTCCAGGTGATGGTAATTTGCTGGGATCTTGATAATACTGCCAAGTCGATTATCATCGAAATAAAATATGGATGCGTACCTAGGGATATGATTGGGTAATGACGTCATTGTTGTATTCATACAACCGACTCCTATGACATCACCCCTGTCGTCAGGGAGACATAGACATTCACTTAACTGCCTATAGTCCTCACCTGTTGGACATGGCTGTAGATTAAGTGCATGTGAAGGTACAGCAACCCCTAGCGTTAATATTGCTAAATACAATGTACGGTGCAGCATTATCATGTATTGCTGTCAAATGGTTTTGAGTGTTGTGTTTTGCTTTCCGTATTCCTCCTGTAAAACAAAACATGGTCATGAGTTATAAATTTGATAATTCTTTAAATTTTATAAGTCATAATATTACTTGACGTCTCCCAAACTTTCTGGCCTGTTGAGTTCATTAAATCATAGCCATAATATGACTATGTTTCAAAACCTTTCTGGCATAATGAGTTCACTATTAAATTTTACGAGTCATTATATGACTTCCTGCTACACAAACTCTCTGGAAGAGCTTTATACTGCACCTTTTCAGCATAGAGGTTCACTAACAGCACACTGGTGTCAGTCAACAGAAAAAATAAAACATCTTTCTCCCGTGATAAAGTTCACTATAAATACATATTGAATTAACTTACCACCAAATAAACTAAGACAAGAATCAAATTAGTCCATGTATGATGTTGCTGAGTTGTTTTGGAATGATCACATTTACACTGTACTTTGATAGTATTTGTTTTACTTCTCAATGTATTTGTTCATCTTAAATTCTTATAATTGTATATCTTTATATGTACCAGGTCGTTCAATAAGTTCTCATAATTTTGCTCTCATTTTAAGAGTTTTTTATATTTTTCCATGAAAATTTCACAGACGATGCAGAATGTATCTGTGTAACAACCCTGCAAAAATTAAGTTTTAATTCTAATGGTCGTGAAAATGGCGGTTGTTATAGTAACATGAAAAATGGGTAGGCGGGTCAGATTATTTGACGTCATAGTGGCATATAATTCAGTTCAACATTGTGGAGAGTAACAAGTGTTTTAATGTCATGTAGTCCCATTTATCCCATGAAATAGTATGGGGTAAATGTTTCTATTCCTACTTTAAATGCTCAAAATAATGTCCATTGGATGCGACACACTTTCGATGACGTTCTACCCAATCCTGGAAGATTTTATGGAATCCATCAGGAAATCTAGCTCTGAGAGCATTTTGGACTGCATTCTGCAAATCTTCTGTCGATGCAAATCGAAAACCTCTCAGCTCATCTTTCATTCGGCCAAACACGCCAAAGTCGCATGGGGCTTCATCAGGTGAATATGGTGCCTGTGGGAGAACTTCCATTCCGAGTTCTCCTATGGTGTTCAGTACAAGTTCTGCCCGGTGACACGGGGCATTATCCTGATGAAATATTCTTGTCGCCAACTCTAGGAGGGGGCGTTTCTTTGAGAAGGCCCGTTTGAGATGCCTCTTGAGAACCTGAAATAGTCAGTAGGATAGGATACTAATGCCTTTAACATTTGTACTTAACCATTTTTATAGTTCAAATCTGATTTTAAATTTGATTTGATTTAATGTTTTTACTCTTATATTGATTAATTTATTAATAATGAATAAGCTTACCATTGCATAATAGTCCTTGTTTATTCTCTGACCATCAGGAATTGCATGCGTAAGCAGCACCCCAGAGCTATCCAAAAACACAATGAACATCACCTTGCCGTCATTTTTGGTCAGTTTTGCCAGGGTTGAAATGGGAGTAGGTGAGTTCTTAGTTCTCCAACCACTTGATGCTCTCTTCCCAAGGGGCTCATAATAGCTGACGTACACCTCGTCGCATGTGATAATTCGTTGAAGAAAACTATCCCCTTCATCTTGGAATCGTCTTAGAAATTCTTGGGAAACCTCAACTCTGCGGGCTCTCTGGTCACTAGTTAACTCCTTTGGCACCCATTTAGCACACATGAGGTTCATTTTAAGCTTCTCTTTCAGAATGAAGTGTGTTCTACAGGCCCGTAGCCAGGGGGGGTTCGGGGGGTTCGGGCGAACCCCCCCCTGGCCAAAATTTCTTTCAAAATCATGCAGTTTTTCACCATTCTGACTAATTTTTGAGTGATTTTTGGCCATATTTGCCAAAGTGACCCCCCCCCCTAGAATTTTTTAGAAAAACGAACCCCCCCTTGGAAAATTCTGGCTACGGGCCTGTTCTACCTATACTAATGTTCACATTCTCACTAAGTTCCCGTACAGAGATGCGGCGATCATCATCTAGAACTGTCTTAACTCTTTCAACAGCCTTTGGGTTGGTGACTTTTACCGGTCTGCCAGTCCGTTTTTCATCCATCACAGATTTTCTTCCCTCTGAACCAAACCTTTGATACCATTGGTATATGGTAGGTGTGCTCATTAACTCCTTTCCATAAATATCTTGAACTGCTTTTATTGTTTCTCCTCTTGATTTCTTGGATAACACACAAAATCTTATCACACTACGGATTTGAATTTGAATTTCATCTTGACTTTTCACAAGACCACAGTCAGCTGCCATCTTGGGTCTCTCTATTGAAACATTTTCTGTGATGTCATACCTTTTTATGTGATGTCACAGTAATAACTATACTCAGAAAAGTTGCATCTTTCACACTGATGTCAAAACCTGTTTCTATGGTTGCAAATCTTTCAGATAAAACATATGACATTTCAAGATGAAATCTAACTACATCCATGGATTTTACGATCAAATAAAGTTGCCCCGCCTACCGATTTTTGACGTTACTATAGCAACCGCCATTTCCACAACCATTAGAATTAATACATAATCTTTGCAGAGTTGTTACACAGATACATTCTGCATCGTCTGTGAAATTTTCATGGAAAAATATAAAAAACTCTTAAAATGAGAGCAAAATTATGAGAACTTATTGAACGACCTGGTACTGTCCTTGTCTCTATAATTTTTCTCCAGTTTTCTAGCTATATGCCTAATCAATCTAGTACAATAAATGAATGATATCAGCACTTTTGTTAATATTTAACAAATACACTGATATGGCAGGTTTCTCAACTTAAACACTTAAGGCAAGTACCATGTATGAGGGGGATGCAATCGAGAAGTGTATCGACAAAATGAAAATGAGTCACTACAGCGTTTTATTCATCCTTTCCCCACGCTCTTCACATAAACTTATATCCTCGTTGTTATCTGGGCTAACATATTTTCATCTCCTGGTTCAATGTCCTCGATATGTATGTTTTGTGGTAAACTGTAGGTTATTGTGGTAGAAAATGTTATAAGCTAAGGTCTCTCAATAGTTAATTAAAATATCTAGTTTTACTAATCCCCCTTGACTGTTACACTTAATTCAATCTATATATGTAAAATATAATGTCCTGGGACAATAGAAAAGATGCCCATGTATTTTGTTGGAGATTTTCGGTCAACAATGTCTCAAACTTCAAGATCTATTTGTAAGACTGATTTGGTGTATGAAGTGATTAAAATATCCATATCATAATCCGAATTCCATTTCAAATAAACGCCCAGTGGACCTTTCGTTGAAAATACTTTCAGAGTATAATGCCCAGTGGAATAAGACATTGGAGCCGATTATATGCCAAGATATTTTTAAACATTGCTGGTTTATGCCAGATCAAAAAAATACAAAATTAAATGTATTCTTTTTAAATCAAAGATGTAAAATGAATATTCCATTACTTTGATAAATCGATACCAATATGTAAAACGGCATTTCTTTATCCATTAAAGCAATGGTCAAAAATACTTATATGGATGAGGTATATTTTATCACTTACCTTAAAATGCTATTTAAAACTGGATTTCATAATAGCAGGCCAGAGTGAGCGAGTGTATGATAAAAATACATGAGTAGTTAAGGTTAAATTAGATATGAACGATCCCCCACACTATCTACAGCTCATATGTAACCATGCATTCAAAGGTGCAGATAATCATTACATTGTGTATAATGTAATAGCATTGGTCAAATAAGGTCACATGATTTAATATTGACTCATGGGTAAGTATGTGTACATTAAATAAGTAGTATCCCTCAATAGTAAGACTAAAATTATCAAAGAAAGGCTATATAACATATCATGTTGACTTTAAGTTTAGATAGACAAATGACAAACCAGCATTAACTATTAACCAGTAAGGCTAACATTTACACACAATTGAAAAATTCAAAATAAGCAAAATGTTGAAAAAACTTTAAGTACATTATGCACTTGATGGTCAAAGTCCCAAGTTTTTCAACTGTATTCTATATCATTCAAATGTTGCCCTTTTTATCAGATACCAATGCTTTAGGCTTATGACATAATGGTTCAGGAATATTGATTAGGTCTAATGAGTACTCGGGTCTTAAGCCTGCCAGTCAATAATGAACGTCAGTCACAATTAATTGAAATATATAGTCAAAAAGACGATTTGATCATGCCGATACTTATCATTCAAAAATAAATCAAAAAGAAACTGTTTTAACTGATAAGATTACAATTAGGATTGTCTTCTGTTTCAGGACTTCATGGTACTAATGGGGAGGGGGGGGGGGAGTGTAATGATCCGCAACACTCAAAAGAACACTAAAACGGTGCTATCAAATGTTAAATGCAACAGAGACACTGATGATCAAAATTAACTTCGAAACAATAATATAAAAAGTTGATGACTCATTATTGAGTCAGCTGTTATTTAAGTTTTTTTTTATCTATAGCTATATAATAGTTTCTTTCAACACCTAAAACATGAGTCACCATAATAACCATTGTTCCATTGTTTTAAGCCCTCAAAGGCCCAAAAGGGTATTTAACCCAAGCCAACCAAAATCTTGATAACATTTTTCAGCAGATTTTTTCATAGTAGCATGTTCATTCTGACCAATCAAAATCAATAAGATCACAAGGGGCATGAAAAAAAGAACACACATTTTCCTCTCAGATATTTTAAAAATCAACTTTGCACATGGACACCACAATATCATGTAATACATATAGTACCCCTTCTAAGAAATCGAAATAATTCAGTTCATTATAAAAATAGATTTTAAAGTTAATTTGAGAGTTTTAATTGAGAGTTGAAGTAATATTAATGATCTAGAAGTGTAATGTCCTTGGAATTTTGACCTCTTAGTTTGTCTAAAAATATGATGCCTTAATTAGGGTTTATTACCTTAAAGAGTAAACATCTCAGAGCAAAGATAGATCTCAATTTGATATCTCAGTATTTAAGTGTACTTGCACATTTTACTATTTCAAACGGCAATTACATGTAATTTACTTCCAACATGATCGATATTTTTGATATTTTCAGAAAATAAAGTTTTTACTGAAGTACAGGGTGTCCCGAAAGTATGGGGTCCCCCCTAGGCAGACATATACCTAAATATGTCCTAAACAGTGTACATTACAGTAATAGTTGGATCACGACTTGATAAGTAACACAGTATCATCTTGAATATATACATATTATTATTTCTCTCTGATTTAGAAAATCTTCATGTACATGTTTTATCTATGTCATCCCATGCCTATGTATCCAGAGAATTTACATGTATTTCTGTAGGCATTACAGTCACAATTGTATGCTAATTATTTTCTACATCTGATAAATTTTCCTCATGCATATTGGCTACCAGTTTCAGTATTATCCACCAAAGGAAGTACTTTCCGATTCACATTAAACAGCATCTGCAAAGTTAATACTATATGTTTCACTATGCTCGTATTAAAACTCATATTATTGGCACTAGCCATTTATTGCATTATAATAACCTGCAAGTTCTCATTGCATGTGTGGACATATATCTCACTTGGCCTTTTTAATTTCAGTATGTGTACATGGGGTATGGTGATCTCTCTCGTCATCAGTCCTGCAAGCAAGGGTATAGGATAGTCATGCCTGTTAGCTCACAACAATGGAGAATGGCAGTAGGGTGTTTCAACAGCTTCGCAATATATCCTCTTCACGAGTATCCTAAAGTTTCAACGGTGCACCCAGAATGTCTGCTCATTAGATTAGCAACTGTGTTTTTAAGCCTTCTACTGTTCAGTGGAGGCTTACATTTTAACCTTGACATTTGTTGTTTGAAATTCATTGCAATTGCCATCATTTTTGTGTGTCAAGTTTTGTATATTCTTGTGAAACTGTTTACACTTATTCTGGTCACCAGATCAATCCTTCTTTTACATTCAAACTGCATCCTAATTATTTTGAAACTTACCACTGTTGTGATGGCTTTGTGCTGTATTCCTGGATCATCATTGTTTATCCACAATCCAAGCCATTTATGTCACTACTTGATTACGCTATGCGGTGATGTGGAAAGCAATCCAGGCCCAAGTAATGATTTGAAAATTTTATTTAGTAATGTCAACAGCATTAAAGCTGACTCACTTACACGGCTGGATTTCCTCAAAAACTATGCAAAACAAGAAAATTTTCATTTAATAGCACTCTGTGAGACTGGCCACATATCCAATGAAGATCTGAGTTCGAACATCTTTAATATCAATGAATATGGCAAGCCAAAGTACTCAAATAACAAGGGTCGAGGTCTTTTACTATGGAGCCATGACTCTATTGAGACTAAAATATGTGATCAGCATGTGAACGACGAACTCGCGAACTGTTGGGTAGAAATCCGGGTGAATTTCAAAAAATTTCTGTATGGATTCTTTTATAGATCACCATCAATGACAGCGAACGAAACTAGAAATTATTTTTCAAAACTCAAATTGAATTTAGAACAAGTGCTCATTGAACCCAATAATGGTGTTTTTCTCAATGGAGATTTCAATGCGAGAAATGATGCCTGGTATACTGATGACCATAATAATCTTGCTGGTACTGAACTGAAAAAACTGCTCACTGATCTTGGTCTATCGCAACTTGTTAATGAGCCTACTAGAATCACTGGCAACTCCAAATCATGCATTGACTTGTTGGTATCTGATTCTGAGCATCTCGTTTCTTTTAAAATTGATCCTCCAATTGGTAATTCTGATCACTGTTCTATTATATCTCAATTTAGTGTTAAAGTTCCACGCGAACCTTCAATTAAAAAAACAATTTTCTACTTCAAAGATGTGAATGCCGACTTATTAAATTCGAAGATAAGGGATTTTGACTGGAGTTTTATTGGAACTGATTCTGTTAACGAAGGCACTACAAAACTTGTGAAAATTTTTCTTACTCTTATCAAATCAAATGTTAAAAATAATATTCGTTCAACAAGATTTGATGACCAACCATGGTTCAATAGTTCCATTAAAAATGAGATTTATAAAAGAAATAGGCTTCATCACAAATTCAAATCCACTGACAATGCAACATATAAAGAAAAGTATGTAACCCAAAGTCGCAAAGTCAAAGAATTAATAGAAACAGCTAAAAGTGACTACTTATCTAATGTTACTTTTAAAATTGAAAATTGTGATAAAAATTCAATTAATTATTGGACACTCATCAAAGACTTGTTAGGTAAAAACAGTATTTCTTCCATTCCAGTTTTATACCTGCCTAATAATGATGTTCCTGCATGCTCCAGTTTGGACAAATCTAATATGCTCATGAAATACTTTGTACAGAAAAATCTGATTGAAAATAATGCAAATCTTACACCTATTTTTCCAAGCAGAACCAATCAAATACTCCAAAACTTCAGAACTTCACAACAAGAGGTCTTTGAACTACTTAACGAGTTAGATGTACATAAATCTCCTGGTCCTGATGAAATCTCAAACAAGATGTTAAAAATGTGTGCCAGCTCTTTTTCATTACCAGTAAGCAACCTATTTAATAGAATACTTGACGAGAATATTTTTCCAGATATCTGGAAGGAGGGAATAGTTATTCCAATTTACAAAAAAGGTGACTCAACCATTGCCTCCAATTATAGACCTGTAACTCTCCTAAGTACTTTGTCTAAAGTTTTCGAACGCATTATTCATAGACATTTGCTTTCTCATCTTCTCGAGCACAATCTCTTGTATAAACTCCAAAGTGGGTTCTTACCTAAACATGGAACAACAAATCAACTAATAAATATTGTACATGATCTTCATCAACATATTGATAATAAAGAGCATATACGCTCAATCTTTTTGGACCTGAGTTCAGCTTTTGACGTTGTCCCGCACAACTTATTGATAACTAAATTAAAAGGCTATGGTTGTAACAACAATTTTATTAATCTCATTAAATCATACTTAAGTGATAGGCGTATCAGAGTTAAGGTCAATAATAACTTATCAGAATGGTCCTCTGTTCAACATACAGATGCTCAAGAATCAGATACACAAATACATAATAACAACCCTCAGATCAAGAATTATAAAATTAATGCAGGAGTTCCTCAGGGTTCAGTGTTGGGACCCCTCCTATTTTTGATATATATCAACGACTTACCGGATGGTCTTGTTTCAAAGACTTTCATATTCGCGGATGACACATCACTCCATAATCCTTTTGATGTAAATGAAATATTTCTCGATATTCATGAACCCATTCAAAGTGATTTGGACCACTTAGACCAATGGGCCGCAACTTGGAAAATGTTATTCAAAGCACAGAAAAGCGCTGATTTGATATTCACTGGACATAGAAACATTAATATTGAACCTCCTCCTCTGAAAATGAACGGGGAAATAGTCCCTAGATGTAATACTCATAAACACCTCGGACTTACTCTTGACCAGCACCTAAACTTCAACGCTCACATTGACCACTTAATTAACAAAGTAATAAGCCTGATGAGGCCCATGAAGAAACTCTGCAAGATCTTGTCAAGCAAGCACCTTGAAACTTTATATAATGCGTACATACTCCCTCATTTTGATTATTGTGACATCATATACAATAGTGCATCAGATACCAAATTGCAATCTCTTGAACGGTTACATTATAGAGCAGCATGTCTAGTCTCTGGAGCAATCCATGGCTCGAACACTAATAAAGTTCTCTCATCAATAAACTGGAAAACTTTATCCTCTAGAAGAGAGGAACATCTCAAAATATTTATTTTTAAAGCAAGATATAATAACTTTCCTCCTTTCATTTGTAATCTTGTCAGGTCCTATGAGAATGATATACAGGTGCGCTCACTAAGGAGCCACAGGGACTATAAGATTCCCCTTCAAACAAGCGCTTTGGCTAAGAAATCTACAATTTTTAAAGGCATGGCCCTTTGGAATAACCTTCCACCAGATTATAGGATTGGCCAGCCAATTTCAAGATTTAAAAGAATAGTAAGAGGCGATGGAAGCCATGCTTCTACCCTATCAACGTCAAAACTAAAAAATGCCATGCCTCGCTACCTAGAAATTCCGTTAAACCGACTCAGGTCCGGACTTCTCTTGCAAGCTCACCTCCATGCACACAACTTTGAACGGGTTGCTAATCCTAAATGTTTATGTGACAATACAAGCCAGACAACTTTACATTTCCTGTTGAAATGCCCACTGCTGACATAACAGAGAACAACACTACTTGCAGGATTGGAGACGATAGGGATCCGTACCCACTATGATGGACTTAATATGCATGATCAATCCCAGTTCTTACTTTTTGGAGATAATAAATTTCCAATAGATGTCAATGAGAAACTAATGAACATAGTAGCATATTATATCCACCAGGGTCTAGATCTCTTGGACATGTAATCGATTACAACATGTTACAACTGAAATCCCTCTGGCCAAGGGAAAAAAAAAAAACCTTACACATTTTTGTGATATACGAGTGTAGTGTGATGATATTTTATTGACTTTTTTTCATCTATTTTAACAATAACATGACATAAAAATAACTTATTATGTAAAAACTTAATAACATTCCTTTGGAGTTCACTCAAAATTGCCGTCAATGTCATTAGACTTTGGCAATTGTTTAAGTTTGTATATCTGTATTTTATGGAATACAATAAAGATGATTAATAAAAAAAAAAAAACATATACCAGTGTCGTCATAGTATGTGTCATATATCATTTTAAAGCTTATCCAAAGTTACATTGATTCACCAAGTATCATGGTTCAACTCTCAAATGTGAAAAAATTACAGGTATTTAAAAATTTAGTGTTTGGTCAAAATTAAGTTCAATTTTACACCAAATCACTAGTCAATGTGTCCTCTCGGGCCATCTTAACAGCAGCAATTCTTTTCGGATTGGATGGATATTGAGTTGGAAAAAGAGAACGGTGAGGGTAGAAACTCTAAGGAAACTCTTCTAAAGTCCCTTAACAGGTTTTAAGAGGGTTATAAAGTTACACACTCCTATTTGAAGGACTTTTAAGGTCATATCTGAAAATAATTGCCGCTGTTAACACGGTCAAGGGGGGACACATTGACTAGTAATGTGGTGTAAAATTGAACTTTATTTTGACAAACCACTAACTTTTAAAATGACTGTAACTTTTTCCCATTTGGGAGTTAAACCATGATACTTGGCAAATCAATGTAACTTTGGACAAGCTTTAAAATGATATATGACACATACTATGAGGACACTGGAATATGTCTGTCTAGGGGGGGGCCCCATACTTTCGGGACACCCTGTATATTAATGGATCAATTGCAAGTGATAGGTTGTCAATTCGGTCTATTTTTTTTAAAGGCCCCATGTAAAGTTTAAACCACTTTGGCTTATATTGTAGTCTTACCCAATGTTATCAAAGTGTGATATGTGAAACTTTTTTTTTAAATTTCAAAAAGTGGTTTTTGATAGACTTTTTGTTCCAAAATTTGTGAATTTATTTAAAACCAACTTTTAGAGGTCACTCATATCTCCTAATTAGCCACAATTCATACCAATGCATAGCATTCCTCCTCCCATGTTTTTGCCGAAGAAATTAAGAAATTCGGTTGATAAACAAGCGAGAAATGAACTTATCAGTGCATGAAAATGGTTCTGAGAAAAATGCATTTCAAAATTTTAGAAACCAATGGTACAATGATATCTAAAACATAATTTATTCTTCCTTTTAACCTGGTTAGACAATCAACATTGTTTTTTATGAAAATCTAGCATATTTAGAAAAGATTGACATCGAAAAAAAAAAATTCAATTTTTTTCAAAAAGTTTTTGTTACCTTAGTGACATCACTAATGTTTCAAAATATTTTTGATAAGCTAAAACATTGAGTGGCCCATTAAATATGACATTTTATTTTTGAAATAGTG